TTTCATCTCCAACTGTCTCTTCATAAAAGATTACATATGCTGACAAAATACATACTGTGACCTTCCTTCTGCATTTCTTATTTATAAGGTTTCTGGAGATGAACTCCAAAGATACATTTCTTATTTAGAAAGAACAATTTTATTGTAAGTGCAAATAATGATTCTGAACATTTGCTTATTCCAAAAATGTGCTTTTTCACATGGGATCACAGGACCAGTCTCTCCTCTATAGCAGCAGCAAAGCAGCCTTTCTTGCTGTTAAATTATTACATCTTCTCTCTGCAAAGTTCATCAGAGAACAGCAGAGGGAATGAAGGGACAGTGACAGAGGTGGTGTGTATGGTGTGAAAAATGCAAAGCAATACCCAGGAGCAATTCTGGTAGTCGGGGACTTAATGGTCTCCTCCACTCCCAGTGCACCCCCAGATCCTGGCTCTCCTACTGGAGGCCAGCAGTGGTTGCCCCTCTGGCCTGAGCAGCATGGTCTGACAGGGATTTCTAAGCATGATAAGGAAACTAAAACAGAGACATTTCCAGAACAGCACGGTGGAATGATTCACAGATACACAGCTCCACTACATTATCAATTATCCCAAGTGATGCCCATGTCTCCTGTATTTAATATGGAATTCTGTGCCGCTCCAAACAGGGGTTTAAAAAATGGCCAGGACAAGACAAATTAAATTATCTCTCTAATTACTTCTGGAAAGCCAAACTCCTCTTCTGACACTTTAAAGCTTTATCTCCAGCTGTGTCTTGGCATACCTTCTCTGACCCGGCTTGCCTACACCCTCCTTGGGTACATTCTCACCATTAACTAAAGGTTGTCCCCCAAAACACGCCAGTGCCGCATCCCGTGTGGGAGCTGCAGCTCAACAGCCTCTTGTCTCCCCTCCGTTTGCCCTTCTGGTCTCTGCCGGGGTTTGCTCCAGTTCTGCTCATTCCAGGGATTCAACACTGTCTGCCGTAGCTACGAGGTTCCTGAGACTACTTCCAACTGTGGGAATTGTCCCAAAACATCTCTGCTGTTGCCACTGCCTTAGCCGGCATCTCTTTAAAATGCAGGCTCCAGGTGATTGACTTCCAAGTAAGAGGAGCTGAATGGGTTTAGACAGATTAACATTCTAGCAGTAAGTGGCAGTCATTCCAAGGAGCTAAATCAAATTCTCAAGTGCTCATTAGCAACCGGGGAGAAAGAAAAAAGAAAAAAGAAAAGAAAAAAAAAAAAAAGTAAGGGGCAAAACTAGTTTGAGAGTTTAAAAAGAATGAGCACATAACGGAGACACTTGGTGGAGGCTGTTTTTCATTAGTTTTTCATTGATGGCCATTTCCCGAAACCACCAGGTCATGGGGTGCTGCTGCATGGCCTTTCCTTGTACCACAAAGCACGAAGGTGCAGCTGCCCCGGGGCCACTGCAGGCTCAGCATCAGCCCGCTCCGTTTGGCTGGCACCATGTGTCACCACGCCGCGCTTCGGTGGCAGGGGGGGACAGCTGCCGTCTGCTGTCCAGCCCTGGAGGGACTGCTCTGCGCCCTGAGAAACAAAATACAAGTCTGCTGTGATGAGTTCACTCGGGTCATCCAGGGCACTTCGTGTGCTCGTAATAATTTGTCTGTTTGGAGTGTCCTAATGGGACGGAATTGCAGCAATCCTTGTGAGGGGGAGGCAAGGAGGACGCTCACCTCTTAGCAATGCGGGCAAGAAATACCGCTCTGTCTCGGGGCGTGCAGGGACAGCGGCTGCACCGCAGGTTCTGTGAGTGCACTGGCACTGGCATTGCCGAGCTACCCGCTGAGCAGGACGGCACAAGGGCCCTGCGGCCCCTGTGCCCCCGCCCGGCCGCCCTGCGCCGCCCGCCTGCGGCAGCACGGCTCCCCCGCTGCCCGGCCCGGGCACCCGCCGCTCCTTCCCCTCCTGCCGCTGTCCTCGCCCAGGCTCAGCAGCAGGGTGAATCCTGGGTCCCAATCCTACTGGTGAGCGGAGTAGTTTACATTTATACAAAATATTTACGGTTTTTTCTCAAGCTTGTTTTCCTAGAGTTCTGCAAATCATGCAAACAGATTTTTGCAGTTTAGGCAGTTGCACTGCAGAAGTTCACCTGTTCTCACTAAAAGCATATGAAAAGACATAAATAGGAAAGATTTGAAATTATTAACAACTCATCCCGTAAAAGTAAAACCAGCTCTACCTGAGTGCAGAGGGAAGTCCCCATTTACCTTTTACATTTCAGAAAGAGCAGAGGCAAATCCTGCCTCAGGTTCCCTTTGCCGCTTGATTTACTCAGAGAAATATTTTCACTGCTGTTCCACACAGCACTAATGAGTTTAAAACTCAGTGGGTTCACAGCAGCTGAACGGCGGCGAGAGCACAACCCTGAACTGTACCCAGCTACAGACCCGCCTGCAGGAAAGGAGGAAAACCCAAAAGCACTCTACTGGTTTGAATGCTTGAAGAAAAGTTGTCTAAGAGTTTGGGTTTAAGTCAGGCACCCACAACTGGCTTTGTGCACATCAGAGTTCCTGATGCCAGCCCTCCCAGGTTCTGCTTGGCTGCTGGCTCATGCTGCTCCATTGTTCCCTGCACCGTCCACCTGCTCTGCATGGTGTGCTTTGCCTAAGTGAAGCTCACCCTTGGCACAGGAGCATGATGGAAAGTGCCTGGGTGTTCTGGCAACAGAGTCAGCATTAAGCCAGGAGACAGTTGAATACATTCCTTTGACCGGCACCCACATTTTTCACAGCCTTTTAGAAAGCGGCTTTCACTGAAAAAAGAAACAGCAGCGAAGAGATCAAGATGTCAGGAAATGCTTTTGCTGACTTGGTGTGAAGAAAATATTTTTCTTATCCAAAGCAGCAGAAGAAGCTGAATAAGTCACTTGACCTTCCTTCCTTTCCTCTCCTTACCCTCTAGGCCTTCTGCCTCTGCAAAAGATCTTTCTTCAGCCATTTGCCATCCTGTCTAGCACATTTGTTCATTATTTTTTCCCTTACATAGCAGCTCCTTGGACTATTCAAAACACCTCTTGATTTGCTCCTACCTTGCACTGATGGGCACGGGAAAGTCTTCTGCTTGGATCCACCACACACACAGTGGTTATAGAATTTTGCTTAAACAGTAGCTGAAACGATAGAAAGCGAGTTTTCTTTCTGGTATTCTGAATCTCTCTGCTATAGTCTCAACAGTTTACAAGCTGCAAATTTGTGGCTCTAAGCCCATTATGCTTGAAAGCACTGCATACTGCAAAAATTTGTGCAGGAATTTGAGTCATTTTGCTAGGAAGTGTCATGCATAGCTCTCATGATCACTATTACAAAGTATGATCCTAATTAAAAGAAACCCAAACTACAAAAAGCACCTTTGTACTCAGAATCCTGATAGTTTGCTAGTGCAAATTATTGTTTGTTTCCCTTCTCTTCTGGATTTCTTTGATCCTCTAAGCCGGCACAGGTAAGGAGCAGAAAGCTGGATCTTTTTTTTTTTTTTCTTTTGCTATATCATGCTTCTGCTCTGCAAGTACAGTCCCCACTGCAAGCATTGTGTGCACAACATAGTCACATAATTAACAGTGATGGTTAATGGCAAAGTATGTCAGAAACTGTGCGAATAACTGCTCATCCCTTAAGGAAGGGGGATGCACAGGATGACCTCTCAAAGTCTCTTCCAGCACCGTGACTCTGTGACAACACAAAGCCAAAAGTCCCCCAGCTTGTTTTTCTAGTAGTCAGCTCTTTTCAGGGCTGCAGCTAACAGCTAGGAAAAAATATCCTTCCATCTGCAAGCAGAGCTCATTGATAGGTATGCAAAACTCTCCTGCCATGTAAAATTTTTATAAATATTTGTTTATTTTCTTCCAGTTATTACTACAATTGTACTATGATGCTAGCTGCTAATGGCAGGCTCTCTGTTCAAAATTATACTTTTTGTGACAGCTGTAATGTATGGATCTGGAAATGGAGCCCCAATTGCAGGGCATGTCCTGCTGTCTTGTTAGTTTAGAGACTTCAGCCCAATGAACTTTTTTAGAATTCAGTCCAATGATATACAGTAAAATTACTATTTTCTTACCTGTTTCAATGGAAAGAGGTTTATATTAGAGAAGAATGGAGACACCATATCTCAGAGATTTAGACTTTTGCAAATTTATTTTCATCATTGCTCTTCTGCCTTCCACAAGAAAACTAGGAACAACAGCACACAAGTCAATGAAAATTTCAATTTATAGTAAAGATCCTTGCCTTGAAAGGGGAAAATTACTTCACCTGGTGAAGATTTTCATGATGCTCATGTGAATGGAAATGTGATGGTGTGAACTGGTGCCACTGCAGTAGCTTGTGGGCATGAAGGGTTTGTTCCCAGGTGGAGACCATTCCTTGATAACTGGGCATTTCCTCCCCTGCTGCCCTCAGTAGCACCTCTCTGGTGGCTCAGGGGCTATTTACGCTGAGCAAGATGGCTCTGACCAGAACTACATTTTGGAAGTGCATACGTGATTTCTTTGTCAGCTCAGCTGCAGCTTGTACTAAGGAAGTGGTAGAAGATGGGAGAGAATAAGGTCAGAGCACTCCAGGTTTTTGCTTGGCTTCTGTCTGAAATGTTTCTCAGGTGCTCAAAGCCTTCTTCTAGATTTCTCCACTTGCCCCTGCACAGAGGGTAGAATCTATGATTTTTTTTTTCTACCTGCAGTTTAAACTGGTGAATTTTGGGAAAAGCTGCAGCTGGATGAGGAAGGAAGGAGGGAAGGGAGGAAGAACCTTGGCCATGGTAGTAGAAAGTGCTGCTAAAGACCCAGTCATATCAGCATTGGCTTGAGGGGAGGTTCTTCTGACTCTGTGCCATTCCTCTCCATCACTCCTGCTTAAAACAATACCAGTAGATATTTTGGCTGTGTCAAGGTTATTATTAGCAAACCACTAATTACTAAGCTAATAGAATTAAAAGAGACACCCCACAATTAAGGCCTATAAAATTCATATAATCTCTCTAATTTTGTAGGAGCAGTCTGACAGGGATGGCAGAGCCCCATTACATGGCACAGAGGGTGGCTGGCTTCCAGCTCATCAGTGTAAGTCATCAGGTCTGTGGCAACTTGTACTTCTTGCTGCTGTTGTTAAGACACTATTTTAGGGTGCACAGATTTATTTGACCTTCACTTACTAAGACGAGACTAAGCCGTTAGTTTTTCTTCTGGTGAATCCCATTAATTAACCTGCCAAATATTTCATCAGAGTCCCTAATGGGAAAAACTACAGAAAAGCCAATGTTTATTATGGTCACTAATGTAGTTTATCTTACTGGAGTTAAGATAGATCTGGATGGACTTGGTCATGGATCAGGACCCTCTTATGCCAAATGCTGCTAAATGTGGATCACATCCCATGTTTTTCCCCACAGAACTCATCATCTGAATAGACTGTGTCAACAGATCTTCCTTCCAACAGAGTACACCTGGACTGGAAAGATGAAACAGCAAGAATTGCCTTTTTTTGTTGTGAGTTATACTTGAAATACAACTCTAAAAGTCGTACTTATTTAAAATTGAAACGAACTGTGTCTGTGCCCCTCTTTGTGTCTGTGTTCCAAATTCTTCCACTTGCCATGTTATGTATAATCAGAACTCATGGTTTTATTTTGATCTTGTTCTTATTCATGAATTGGTATATGCAGTGCTAAACATTTGTTTCTAGATTAATTTTTTAAAGAACACTGAATTACTTAGAATGTTGCAACTAAGACTAAAATAAAGCATGAATTTTAATGTGCCACAACTTTCATTCAAGCATATACAGCCTGCATATTTCACATAGGCTGGATGGATTTTATCTTTACACTGTACATTTGCAATTAATTTTCAGCTGGGGAGGATTTACTTGCTCTCTAGAACCGACTTGTTTGAACTCTCAAGTTAAGCTGAAAAGATGCTGTGAAATACTGAAAAAATGGAAGAAACAGAAACATACAAATGTTCATTGTTAGCTAACTGCAGGACACTGTAAGTAAGGAAGTTAAATTGATAAGTATGCTTTCTGTATAAAACCTCAAATCCGTGTTGAACTGTTCATCTTGCTGCTATGAATCTGAAGGGGCTGGTAAGTGCAGGCATCTTCTTCAAGTCTTGCAGCAAGACACATGCTGCTGTTATATGACGATCAGTTATGAAATTATTATCATAGAAATTTTCAAAACTGGACTTCAGTACTACTCAGAGTATTCCTGCCTGAGCTGGTAACCCTCTCTAGGTTTCAAGCAGACTAGACAAGCAAGCAGAGTGTTTTTAGATTTCCTCCACCCAATTTTGGGACTACACCCATTGAGACTACTCAGTGCAAATCCAACTCTTATAATGGCTTACAGTTCAATTAGTTTTTCAACATGATGTGGGTTGTTTGCATGTTTTGTCTTTCTCTTAAAAAAATTTTTTTTAAAAGACAGAGAAAAGAAAAAATATTGTGGCCTCAAGTATTTTCCTGTCACAAAGCCTTCTGTTCCTATTTCCCAGACAGGTGTGTGGATTTTTTGTCATGTTTAATGATGCCTTCTGTCCCCATTGCTAATGCTTATCTTTCCTAGTAGTCTGCATCCTCTTTTTTCCTTCTGCATCACCAATTTTTAATGATTGTGTCCTTTTTGGAGGGTAAGAGCCATGGAGCTGAATGCTGGCACTTGGTGTTTGGGCTTTACTCAGCAGTGGGAGAGGGCAGCAGCTGCCCAAAGCCTGGGATAAAAAAACATGAGTAATGTTCAATCAAAGGTGTTCAAGGGCCCAATGTTACTTTTCATTTTGCCCTATCATGGCAACATGAGAATATTTCAGGGAATCATTTCAAAAATTAGTTTGATCTCATGGAAGTTGGTTTCTGACATTATTGAAGGAGCTCCTGTACCAGAGTGAGTATTAGGAAAAAAACCCAATCTCCAAATTTGAGTAGTGACCCAGAACTTTGATGAAAGTCAAGGTAAATGTAAAGGTAACCATAATTTTCTGCTGAAATTTGTCTTTGGGCATATGTTCTCCCAGGGTTAGATGGTCAAGAACATGAAAACTGAACATTTTTACAAAAAGTGTTACTTAAAAGTATTCAAAAATTTCAGAAAGAGTTTTAAACTGAAAGATGGTACATTTAGACTAGATTTTAGGAAGAAATTCCTCACAATGAGGGTGTTGGGGTACTGGAGCTGGTTGCCCAGAGAAGTTGTGGAGGACCCATCCCTGGACCAGCCTGGTGTATCTAGTGAAAGATGTCCTTGCCTGTGACAGGGGTTTGGAATTGAAGATGGTCTTTAAGAAGAAGAAGAAGAATTGAAGTTGGTCTTTAACCCAAAACATCCTATAGTGCCTTGATTACTCCTGGGTGGGTAGACTGGAAACAACTGAGGACTCAGAAGCTCCAAGCCAAAGCACAGAACAGAGAGGGAAAGCAACAGGTTACAGCAGTGCAGGTGAACAGTCCTACTGAAAGCCTGCAGAGAAGGTTTCTGATTTAGCATCATCTGTTGCTGAAATAAACTATTTCATTATTTTCTGATTTCTCTTGCATCCAGAAAATTCCTGGCTTTTTTGCAAATTACTAATTTAAAAAAAAATTAATTTTACCTGGCTATTTAAGTCAAAAAGAATATCAGTGTTTATTATCATAATGCTTATGTGGTACAGGAGATCTTGTGTGTCTGGGTGACCTTCCTGTTTGATGGCTTCCTTTTCTGCATTCTAGTCCCACAGCCCATGTCCTACGTCCTGCTGGAGTACTTCTGTCCATTGGAGTGTGGAAGGGGTTCAGATCTCACCATTATTTTCAAGTCCCTGAGTCATCTGAGTCCTTTTTGTTCTGGTAACCACCCATGGCTATTATGGGATGTGTGTGAACACCCTCTCCCTCCCACAGTCACAAACCTTCCTGGTTGTTCCTCTGACCTCCAGTCAAGCTCACACCCAGCCAAGCACACAAATGTCTACATGCACCACAGTGATATCTGGTGCTGTCTTGGTGGCCTCTCAGACCTCACTGCTTATGTGTGCTGAGAGACAGAAGTTAATTTAGGCCATGTCTTTCCTCTCCTCCCCCTTTTTACAAGGATTAATAAATAGCTGGATTCTTGGCTTGGCTTTTGTTCTGTTCTTAGGTCTTGCTTCAGTACATAACGATAATTTCCTGCTGAACTGCTTCTGCTGCACTTTGCCTGTTTCACTTCCCTTCCAAAAGAAGTGACTTCAGAGTAAATACCGGACCAGAACAGTGTGACTCCCAGTCAGGGTTAAATCTGACCACAGAGCCTTGTGATTTTACCCACCTTCTGATTTCACCAGCAATGGCTTCCAGTTTTGAGCTAAAGTATGTTTGCTGTGAGGAGAGTGCCCAAGTTTTCAGCTGTGAATTCTCAGCAATATGCAAAGAAGAAGATAACCTGTGCAAACTATCTACTCTTCTGAGCTGCAAAGTTGTGAGAGTAGGGTAATATTACAATCAGAGTGGTTTGCCCTTGCTTTTTCAGGTCCTCATTTTATTATGAGGACTGGAAAACCACTTTGTATGTGTGAGAGAGCTCAGCATAACAACAATGGAAATGACATGACTATTACTATTTCTGTGCTGGAGGTGGTGCTGCCTGTGGCTCTGTGAAAGCGTGGAGCACTCTTCCCTCCAAAGCTTTAATAAAATCAAGAGGGAAAAAGAGCAACAGCTTGTTGCATTACTCTCTGAGTTGTGGGTTTGGTTGGAGGGTTATGTAAGGGCACGTTTGCATACAGCCAAGGTGCATCAAGCAGACACCCCTGAACTAAAACACCTCAATATATGCCTCTGGCTAGAAACCCCCAAAGGCTATTTGCTAGCCAAATGCAGCAGGAGCACGTGGCATGTATACCTACATGCCCTGAGTGAAGGGCTGACATCAAAGAGAAACAGCTGTAGCTGTGACACCCCCAGCCCAGGCTGATGGGCACAGAGCCCCTGGCAGCTCGCAGGTCCTGGGCCAGGGTTGCACCTCTGCTGCTGGGGGCTCCTGCACGCAGCAGGTGCAAACCCACTGCTTTGTACCCGGCTCTCACAGGTGTGAACAGCCGCACAGCGACCTGAGCTGGGGCCTGGACGTGGAGGAGAGTAACTGCAGTGAGATGAAGGGCAAAGAGAAGACAGCAGCTTCAGCACGGCCAGGCAGGCAGCAGAGCTTCTGCCAGGGCCGGGTGAGGGCACACGTCCAGGATTGTCATCCCCATCCCAAAACACAACACTGGGAGTCTCACTGCTCTTGCAACAGATAATCTTTAGGAGGGACTCAAAGAAAAGACAGCAGTGGCTTTCCTTCCTTTTTGGGGGGGATTGTATTTGGAGTGAGGACAGCATGGAAGAACACACATGAAGTTACTTGTAGAAAAGCAAATATTACCATGACTTGGGCTGGTGCTGCTGGAGCTGTGGAAAGACAGAGGCAAAGCACTGAGGTGGAGACATGAATAAGGGCTGAGGAAGGAAGAGTTTAAATGAAAGCCTGAATCTGAAACATGTGTAGAGGAAGCAGCTTTTGAGAGGGGTAGGATGGTCAAACCAAGTAGGAAAGCAAGAGGTACAGACTGGAAGGAGATGATGGGGGGCCACAGTGACAGAGGTCACAAACAGACTTCTTGCAAGTATGAGAAAGAAAACAAGATCTTTCTGAAGAAGAAGGTGCTGTGTTACAGACTAAGCACATTGAGATCTTTTATGTAGGAAGTGACACGATTTCACAGACCATTATCAGAAATGCTCACTCTCCAAACTTCAACTTTAACTGGGAAAAAATCAAATGTTGCATGATTGCAGACTTATTTACTGACTCTTTGATTACTGAACTATATTCAAATGTTTAACCTGTAGTAGGAAACATTTGTGTTATAAAACTTAAACAAAATTTAGAGTTGAAGTAGAGGCTTTTTAATTTTTGACAAAAGTAGCAAGTGTTCTACTTCTCCTATTACTTTTCTGATAATTAGAAGTTCATTCTTGAGTAACATACTCTCACTTTTTCATAGTTTCCCAATTAGAGAGAGGGGGGAAAAAACATTTTGCCATAATCTCCTTAATGAAATGCAGTCACCAAACTTTCAACATGCAGTTTTCTTGCTGCAGTGAAGTCAGCTATTGGGCAGGAGTGACAAACTCTACAATAAGTATTTCACATATCTGATAATACAGTAAGCCATATTCAGAAGGAAAAATTACCGTTCAGGAGACACAGACCTCCAAGAAACACCCCAAACCTCCTGACATTTTTTACTGCAATTTTAAGATCAGCTTTGGAGGACACCTTTCTTAATCAAATACTATTGCCTTTAAAGATTAGTGTTCACAGCCTAATCATGCTGCACTTTGCTTAATTTGCTTTGCTATGGTCTCATTAAATTCTTTCTTTTGGTCAGAAACCCTGCCATGGCTTGGCAGAGAAACAGGAAATTTCTTCTTCATGTTGGAGGATTGTGACTGCTCTTTCATTTTAACACACAGACTGGAGGGTGCTGCAGCAAATTACGTGTGGGTCACTCATTCCTTCCTATGTAAGGAGCTCACAACCCCTCAGAACACTTTGTCAGCTGGACAATTGGGACAAAAGGGAGAAAAATAATCCTTGTGTCAAAAATGTCTCAGATTGCCATTCTATCAGTTAGATCTAATGTTTAATTTTAGGTTACCTGAAACCTCAATGACAACAATTCCTACAACTGATTGTTGAGGCTGCTTTTATCCTATCTCTGCTTGTGATAGATTCAGCATTTGGTGGTCAAGAAGAGACTTTCCTGAATTGCTACTTTCCTTTGTGCTGAGAAAGTTCACTTAAGGAACAACCTGGCAACATTACCTGTTATTTGATCTGGAATCTGTGAATCAGAGTAAAGCGCAAGCAATAAATACTAGAGTTTTAACACTATTGTTTTGCTGGTAGATGAGAAATGTAAAAATTGCTTTCTTCACCAAAGTTTGGAAGTCCATGAAAAAGTGGTGAGCAGATGTGTCAGGATCATCCCTACACCTGCAGGGGTATGCGGACAGGTGTGGTACCTTGCAGTCTCACCTGGGTCCATGGAACGCGTCCCCTGACACAGATGGTGAGCAATAAGGAGTGTTTAAATTGCTGGATGAGCTACTGCCAGGGATCAGATCTAACTACACAACCTCTAGTGCTGTCACGCACTTCACCTGCGGCTGACCTGAATTAAGAAGAAAGTCAAACTCTTTCCTATTTTTGGTATCTTTCAAGGAAACCTCTTTGCATCCTGCACCAGAAAGGCATGAACTGGCTTTCAGAGGTAAGACCCACAAGCACATGTGCAGAGTCAGTAGAACAGGCAGAACTACACTTTTAGCAGCATACCTTAAAATAGTTGACTTTACCAGAGTGGTGCAACCATGGCTTTTGGCAGTATACCTGTGTTCTGGACATGCAGGACAATGCACTCACACGTCTTTCCACTTTCTGTACTAGCCATTGTAGTACAGAGACGCTCATTTAGAAGTAATCTGTACATGTTGGCAAGGAACTACTTCTGCCAGAAAAGCCAATTTGCTCCTCTAAATGGAGCAAATGGAGCATAGGTTCTCTCTGCTTGAGATGGATTGCCTGAGAACTTTGTTGGCAAACTTATCAGATGAGGATTCTATGGGAAAACCTTCCTTTGGGCGAATGGGTTATGATTTTAAAGAAGAGTACTAAAGAATACTTAAGAAGTTTTTGTACCACTAAACCCCTCATTATTTACTATTCTGGACTATTTTTTCTTAAAGAATTTAACTGCATAATATTTGCTGCTAATGCTGAACTCCTATTTTAATTCAAGTATTTTACGAATATTTTCTCCATGATTATTTGCTGATTGTTGCAGGTAAGTTCTGAAAGGTTTGTTTTTTGGGGTTTTTTTTGGGTTTTTTTTTTTTTGGTTCTTGATGCATTTACTAAAACTGGAATCACATGCTTTTATCAACTTTTGAATTGCAATAGTTTGGAGAGAACACACTGTTAACTTGAACTTTCCAACATTTGACTGAACTTCACATATTATACCAATAGTAGTTTGATTAATTGGTTTCTACCTGCAGCAAAACTCTTTTAGGGAGTGAATGTGGATTTGCTTAGGTAAAACCTGTGAGATTTTTCTATGCTTGAAAAATAATACAATTAGATTTACAGTTGTTTAGAAGGACAAACTGCTTTTAAAAAGTATAGGTAATATCACAGAAAAAAGGCAGCATAGCAGGTACCCAGATCTGAATAAGTATTTTAAAAATTTAGAAGAATAAGAAGAATTCTTAATTAAGAATAGCTAAGAATTAATTAAGAATAAAAATAATGGGGTTTTTTTTTAATTACAAAGAATTATGGAAATCAATTTCTTTCACTATTTTTGAGCTCCAATATTACTTATTCTTTAAAAAATTTAACTTGCAGGACTTCTAATCTACTGTTGGAGACTTGAACTAGCCTGGATGAAGATCCTCTGTCTACTCATCAGTTACAGATGTTAATTGGGGTGAGGGTCATGATACTAATCAGTTGCACAAATGACCTACATGGGGAAACAAATAGATGAATAATATCTCCAGGTCACCACTAGTGGTAAATATTGCTCTGTTAAATATTTGCGTATGCAGATGGAACATTGCTTGTTTGTTTTGGAATTTTGGTTGGTTGGTTGGGTTTTTGCTCTCCAGAAAAAAAAAACCAAAAAACCACAAACAAACAAAAAACCAGCAAAAACTGCTGCATTTGAACAAAAATTATTGAAGGGAGAAGAATTATTTTTTTCTGTTTCATGACAATGCTAGCAGGAATTACTACTTTAAAAAAAAATCTGCTGGTGTGTGCTTCCTGTTCCAGTTTGTTTAGTCACAAGTCTGAATTAGATCTCTCTGTTGGTTGGTTTCATTTACTATAAACAGGTCTTGTGCTTTGTTTCAATACA